ACTTGTGAGTGTTCCTTGGGGGTGGGGGTGGGGGGGTGGGGGGGGGAGGAGGGAGGAGTCATGAAGCAATTGAGCAGAGCGGGTGGGATTTAGAGCTTTGGTCGGTATTTGTCGCTGATTCTGCGAAGGGGATTTGCAAGTCCCTAAAATTAAATGAATGCAAATTAGTTACAGTACATTTAAGTTATCGGCTTTTTCATTGGTACGGTTGGCTGGCGCTCTAAAGCGTGTTGTTTCTCTCGATCAGGAATGTTTCCGTAAACTTGAAGCTTAAATACGGATTTGTGCTTGAAGGTAATAGGTCTACCTTTACACGCAATAATTAGTCGATCTGGCGACAGGACGCATATGGAAGTAAAATTAGTAATGAGAGTTTTTCGTCTCTTATTTATCTTCTTTTGGCCTATACCCATTCTATTTACTGCATTTAAATTGCCATCGTTTAAAAAGTTCATTTATAAATTTAGTAAAATTCGTGTGCTCGCATAAGTTGAAAATTCTTTATTCCAGGAAAAATAAAAGCTCGGGGGTAATCAGATTAAATTATGCATCGTTTGTAGGTTAATAGACATAGATCACAATGGGCAATGGATCTGCTACTGCTCTCAAGCCGTCGAAAGCATCATTGATTCATAGGCGGAAAGATCGGCAAGGACTTTTAGTGTTACATTTCTGGCGGTTTGGAGTATTATGACAAATAAAAGGTGACATTGGATTCAGTTTGAGATTTTTCTAAAGATCGTTCGAAAAAGCAGAAATGCAAGTTATTTGGGCTGAAGGGGGAGGGGTGGAAATCCCAAATATCCTCTCCCTTTTTCCTTCCTGTTTCTTATGCACTCGTCCAGCTGATTATTTCATTAATATTTTATTCTTTACAGGTAAAAGTTCAGCGCCAATTTTACTGAGCTTTACAGTTTGAAAAACACGCCATAAGAAACCTTAGTCACTTTTACCATACATTATAAAATATGCTTCATTAATTAACCTTCAAAGCTCAAAATCCAAATGAAATACCAATACGTGTGTTCGCATAATAGTTTCCATCGAAATGACGTCTTCAATAAAATTTATGGTTTCAACTAATATAGTATCCAATTAAGCAGAAGATGTACTTCTCCATTGACTATTACAGCGCTTTCCACCAAGTTATTTGTGCAGCATTACAAATGACATACGTTTGCTAGTTAAGGCCTAATTAAATCTTCGTTTCAAAAGGCGGGCTTTCGAAGATAGGCATTTCTGTTTCAATCAGACGCTTCTCGTAAGCAGAAAGCACAACTCATATTTATTTATGTATTTCAAGTGGCAGGCGTTTCGATAGTTATCATTAGCCCTTTAGCTGACTTCGGGCTTCACAGAACATCAAAGTGGACAAAATAATGATTCACAGATGTAAAAGAGGCAGACAGGTATTAAGGTAGAGAAAAGGTGAGATGAGTACTGTAGAAGTTGTGAATATGACATACAGTGGGGTCATTGTAGTTTGAAGTCAGAGGTCAACTGCCAGTTAATAGACTTTTTTGGCGTATGAGAATACGTTGCCCAGGGTGCACCACGTGGAGGTAAGTCTTCCACCCACCCCGCACAACTCGTATAAATATTCATATTAACCGACTTCCTTCTCCAAACGTTTCATCCGAAGTGACCAAGTAAAATAATTGGAGCGACTAATCGAATGCATAGCTTTGGAAGTTTAATCATGGCTTAAAAGGTTCACTACCACAAGAACGAAACTAGGAAGATGTTCATGAAATACTTGTGTAAGGAAGGCAGAGCTGGTCGATCTGAAGGTGAAAATATGCAGCAGTATTAGAAATGAGATAAATGGGAAGAACATATTCTATAAACATAGTTATATTCAAGTTATGACTTAACATTATCTCCAATCCGGTTATAAAGCCATTTTTGGCGTTTACATAATCTAATCTAGGCATTAGGCAATAGAAATAATGATATTCTTAAGACTGTCAGAATGAACACACCTTCTCGTTTGAGCAAAACCATAGGTCTGCTGGCATGTGAAATTGAATGTGAGTAGGAAGGATGATGGTAGGTGCTATTACTGAAAGAGAGTAGGTGGGATCCTATGGAACGGGCAGAGCTTAATTGTTGGTCAGCAAGGGAAAATTTAAGTTTATGTATGAGTAAGCAGTACAGCGAGGGACCCAGAAGACTAATGCGTCAGTGTGCGCAGGCATTACACGTAGCCAAGAAAGTAGATAAGGAGGTAGAAAACAGACTTAAATCGATAAGGAGTGGTAAATAAATTTCTTTATTGAGTTATCTTTCAAATTCAGTTAATGTCATATTTATTCGGTCATATACGAAGGATTCATTTGTGCACAGGTCTTAACGATGATTGATACTTGTACGCACAAACATCTGAACACTAACGTATCTTTCCATGCAAGCATTCTTACGTTATAGGAGTATAGTAAATATAGGTTGTTCCTGTGTTCTACTTCAATATGGTTTTCAATGTAACAGACATTGGTAATTACCATTTTGTGGACAACAAACAGGAATTCATACTGAAAGGCCTATGAAAAGTCATTCATTTTTGTACTTGTCGAAAGTAACTGCTAATCAGCTAGATCACTCGAAACTCATAAATAAATAATGAAAATCTATGCTTCTATTCGATATTAGATTTCATGCATTACACAATCTAAGATCCGGTAATCGATGTAACAATTGCACAATGATCACACATTTTTGTGCGAATAGATAAATTTCATTATTTTCCACAGATGCCTTTGTTGACTCGCTGCGGGTTTTCGGAATTCGAATTTAAAGCCTCCTGGAGCTGCTAAAATTTACTTTTTAATGGCATTTTATTCGAATTAAAGTTTGTTGGAGAGATGAGGATTTCAACATATTTCATGCACTCACTAAAGTTCACATGAAACTTCCAGTTCATTCTGTCATTTTAGGACACGAAGTAGACACATTTTGGTAATGTTTGAACAGATAAATACTCCACGTTAGGTAATAAGGCACAGTAAGTGCAAATGTTCGAAATGTGATATTCCATTGGCTATCTCAATAAAGAGAAAATTTCAAAATAATCTTTTGCTTGGTTCGTTACATATATATATATATATATATATATATATATAATTGGTGCGAAGTTTGTTCTCCTCCATTTGTTCTTGAAGAAAGTACACATAATGTTGCAAAAATTGGCACAAATGTAGACGATAAGAAATCGAATTCCTACAGCAATAATGATGAACAATTTTTCATAGATACGTGAAGCATTCTAAGGAATATAAATCAATAGATTCCTTAGGCAATTAATATCCCTCAGTCAATTCTTGAAAAGTGAAGAAATATTCGCATGTTCAATAAACATCCTTTTGTAAATTTCAAACTAAGTTTCAGAAAACAA